AGAAGGCAGCCCTTGGGAAGTATCCAGAGCTGCCAATATTCCAGCTCCAAACACATTGTTCATGTGGGAATGACTGCTAGCAAAATGGGAGTGTAGAATATACCAGGATGCTACCCAAACCTACCACTTCCAGAATAGGATGGTTCAGCAAAGCCTTCTCCACGACCTCCACTGACTTGCCCCATTCCAGAAGTGGGGGTGTCCGAGAGTTTTCAGTGGTACTAGCAAGCCCCGTGTTCCCATTGAGCTACTGGCTGAACTTTTGCTTAGCCCAGCAAAAGTTTTGGGCACTGCCCACTTCATGCCAGTATACAGAATCACATACTTATTTCTGCATCCATCCAGTCCAAGGTAATAGTGACGAGTGCCATGCTAAAAAAGTTCTTCTGATTTTCTCCTAATGTCATTCAGTTGGATAAAAAAGAAATTAGGTTCAAAAAGGAATTCAGATAAATTTTTAGAGAAATCCTTTTGGACTGGTTTTGGGCTCTTGAGCTTACCTTGCTCGTGAGGCAGCGGGGGAATGTGCCTAATTATCCCAGTGCTCATTGTGCAATGCCTCTTGGGCACCCTGCAGTCTCCTTAGCTTCCCACTCTCCCATTAGAGCCAAAGGGAAGGCAGAATCGGGGCACTTCCCCCATTGGGCTTTTCGGATCAGGGACTGCAGGCAGCCTGGGATGTTGCAAAGCCATAGAGAGCGAGGTGTGCAACAGACAGAAAACACACGTGAAGCACTCTTGGGTATCTTGCTGTGCTTAGGTAAGCTCAAAAGCCTGACCAAAGGACATTCAAACTAAATTACAAAATGTCCTGAGAATGAGGATGGAAAATAGAAATGGCTTTCAAGAGGGAAGAAAAGTCTCAGGAAGTTGGAGGGGAGATGCTAGCGAAGAACATGCTCTGCCTCCTCCCTAGAGATGGCTGCCACATTGTCCGCCCAAACACTGCCACAGGGAAGTGACAGCATTCTAAGCATCTGCCATAGAGACAAGATGTATCCTCAATCAACTGTCAGGAAGTGAACATTTGGAAGACAGTGGGAAAGGTGCTGAACCCTGAAGAACAACCAAAGCTGAGCCAAACAATTACAGAAGGCATTTTTCTCAAGAAAAAAAAAATCAGTTTTCTCCCCACACATTTCCAGCAATAAATGCTGCTTGTAGAATTTGAAAAAGTGGGGCCAATCTGCCAAGACAGTTGATGCTGTTGCAATACATGCTTGGAAGCACACACACAAAATACCCTTAGGACAAAGGAAAAAAGCTGTGCTATAACCCTGTGCTACCTGTGAGAAACTGTGGGAGAATTTGTCTTCCTCCTGGAGAAGTTCAGTAAAATAATCTTTTGAAATTTTCTCTCCACAAACAGAGTGGAGGATTTTCAGAGGCTGCTTGCTGCAGCTCTGCTAAGGTACCAAGGCTCCTCCATACACAGTGGCTGGGTTCCAACAACACAGCAAGCCATGTTTTACCATTGATGGTCTGTTGTGCTGTCTGAATTTGGTCATGGTAGTTCACCTTGGTAAGCTTTGTATTTGGGACCCATGTTTCTCTGCACTACCACTCCTTGTTGTGTTCACTGAATCTAGCATAGTTTCCATGATCCTGGTATGCAACTACCACAGAGTCCTCTGGAAAGAGCGGCAACCGCAGGAGTGGCTCCAGCCATCCAGCCTCCATGTGTGGACCAATAAAGAAGGGGCAGGCAGCATAAGCAGGGAGTGATGCACCTTGGGATTGACTTCCAGGCACAGTGGCTGAAGGGATGTGTGCCAACAGTGGGAGGACTGAGTGGGGAGGATGGAAACCACAATAAAATAGCAACCACTCAATTGCCTGTCAGGTAGATCTGATTTTTTAAGAAAAACATGAATAATGGTAACCATGTAGTAGTGCTTGTCATGTTGTGTGAATGCAACCAGCTGGAGCATCATTTCACCCACAAACATGCATTGAAAGTATAGGAAAAAAACATCTGGGTGATTAGTATGCAACGGTGTTTAAACTATTATTGATCTTATTTAGGTAGCCTTGAGTACACACTCTTAGAAACTGCACAGCATTGGCTTCAAGTGTCAGGTTCAGTAGTCACTTCCACTGTGTATCCATGGGGATAACATGTGAGGAGAGGGAACACTCCAGTCCTGCTCCTTCTCTCGTCATGTTTTCCCACCCTCCCCACATGGAGGGCAGGTCTGAAGAACACAGCCTCCTGTATCTGTGGGGGCTCACTGTGTGATACAAAATTCTGATTTTCCAGCCTTGTAATTCACAAGGAGACCCTCCATGGATAGAAGGGGTCCTCTTCTCTTCAGATTGCCTCCCTGGATGAGTTGAAGGAAATCATGTGATGAAGGAGAGGGTAGAACTGGAGCATTCCTTCCTTCACAGGTTTCCTATTCAGGTTGAGGACACCTGAACATAGCATAGGTAGTGCCCGAATGGGGATTATGAGACCATAACCAAGTGGGGAACCAAGTATCTGTAGCACAGAATTTTGCAGTGAGATGCAATTCCCATATCCGCTCACACATTTCATCTGGCTTCATGACATTTGCTTACCCACCTAACTGACATGATGGATATGTTGTCCCCTTCTGTGGTTTCTGCCCTTCATGACGAATATACAGGCAACCATTGTCTATATTCAACTTTTGCACATGTCTCAGAAAAACAGAGGACTTCAGTGAAAAAAGTAACTCAAGAAAATGAAGTTTGACTGTTATTGCTAATTGCCAGAACCTGCCTGCCATTATCATGTCTTCAAATACATCTGGTTGTTAATAATTAAGAAAAAGTAAACAGAAGCATGGTGAGCCTGGGAGTAGTTATGTTACTTCAAAGAGATCTGTGGGAGGCTGTTTCTGTGTCACAAAAGTAGTAGTAATTTGTGAATCAAAGGGTGTCATGAATCATTATGATATATATGAACCAAAATCCTGTTCTTTGAAGTGCTGTATAATTCATCTGTCTGGAAATGCCAGTCAATGAAGCAAACTTCCCTCTATCAACAGCAGATGTTACCAACCAAATAGTTTTATTAGAGTTAGGCAGGAGAAAACCATTAAACTTACAAGTATTGAAAGGAAGAGAGCACCTGAACGACATCCACCTCTGCTTACTGCCTTGAAACCATCTCCTCCGTTTCTCTTGACATGTGCTCTAAATTAGTCGGTGATGCATCATTCATACTTAAGTGTAGCACAAATCAAGAGTGGGCAGATGCTTTGTGTGGAGAGGAAGGAGAGCTGCCAGCTCAAAGAAAAGAAGGTGGTTTGCATTGGCCACGAATTCTAGAAAGGCCTCTTTCTTTGGCTTCCATTGAACTGAGACCTAAGCAACCAGGTTCAGTCCCCACTCAGTCCCAAAGCTCCCTCCCTTTGGCCAGTCATTCTCCTTCAGCCCAACCTACTGCACAAGGTAGGTGTGAGGTTCAAGAAGTGGGGGATGCATGTCTCTCCCCTCCTCCGTACACCATGGTGGAAAGATGGGGGAATGTATGTACTCATTAGCTAAGAGTGGAAGGCTGGTTAGGGCATGCTGGGAGTTGGAGGAGTTTTGTCTAACATGCATAGGATTACAGCCTAACTAACTATAAGAAAGTCTATCCAGAATCTCCCCAGTGTGGGGGAAATTAAGAAGCAAATTGGGGTTAGAACAGTTTTTTCCAACTCCTCCAGATAAGTTGGACTCCCACTGCCAGCATCTGCCAGTCTTCCTATATAGCAGTCCAATAGCAGTCCAGTATAGCTGGAAGGGTGCCAGGCTTCTTGGAGAAAGGGAATGATCTAAATTTAAAGGACAGAGTCTTTTAGTCTCCTCCTTCCAGGGTTAAGGCAACCTATCAGATGATGAGTGGCAGAGCTGTGACAATGCTCAGTAAGAGGTCCCTTTTCAGAAGAGGATATTTTATAAACCCATGTGATTCTGGACAGGGCATTGGAAACAGAAGATACAAGCATTGGGTGAATGGCATTTAGAGGGGCACCAAAATGAAAGGCTTGTAGGAGCCTCTTTAAATTGCCAATCAAATACTCCTCCAATAGAGGAAACCTCAAATTTCATCACATACAGATGGATGGAGACATTGTTTTCTGATACAGGCTTCTCATGGGGAAAAATAATATTAAGTTAAAGCAAGAAGACAAATTCCAGACAGTTTGGCATGAGTTTCTGAAACTAAGCCCAAATTCAAATGTATCAGAGTAAACAGTGGGGTATGCAAAATAAGTCAATAAAAGCACTTCTTTTTTTTTTCTTCTCCTTTCCTTTTTAGTATTGCTTTAAACAATGTTAATTTATTTTTACTCTCAATTAACAGGGAGATGGGATGAAGGGGAAAGTTGGATAACTATTGCCTAAAATATCAGGAAAAAAGTTGAAATAAAATTTATAGCTTTTTAAAATGTGTGTTAAGGAGGCTCATGGTTAACAGGGAAAGATCCAAATGGCTTAAAATTGCAACACAAATAGACAGAAGAAAAACAAGTGAACTAATGAGAAAAGCAAAAGTTTTGCTTCCTGAATGACTCGTGAATTGATTTTTCATTTCATCCTCCCCTCACTAGATACACAGAGGCTTATGCAGCTTTTCACAGCAATTAGTTTTAACTGCATTGCTGCCCACTTGAGGAATAGTTCCTTGACATTTCTGTGAATGTAATATGACTTCACACTGTGTTGAGTAAGCAAACATGATGGCCTTTAGAATAACTTTTCAGCACTTAAGCGTGGCAGTAATAAACTACTTAGCAGAAATAACTTCTGCACCTGTGTGCTTTTTCCTCTCACACTACTTTTTGGAATGGAAATGTTGATGATGGATATCTCAATTAGTTGGGGAGGAAATCTTAGGCCCTCATTAAATTCATCCTCTAATACTCTGGGATCCAGCACTGAGAAGCTTGATAAAATACGAACATGTTAGATTTATAGGAAGACAACAGAAAAGTTAATTTTAAAAAATAATCTCTTCCCCTTGTCTTTTCTGAAAATTACAGATGGCATCTGCACAAGACACCAGGTATGGCCAGAAGGACACATCAGACCAGAACTTTGATTACATGTTCAAACTGCTCATCATTGGCAATAGCAGTGTTGGGAAAACATCGTTTTTGTTCCGTTATGCTGATGATTCTTTTACTTCAGCTTTCGTAAGCACCGTTGGGATCGATTTCAAAGTAAAAACTGTTTTCAAAAATGAAAAAAGAATTAAGCTACAGATCTGGGTAAGTAAATATATATATATTAAAGGACCATTTGAGGACTGCTTGTTGATGATAACTCACCATATTTGTACTTTTCTGCCAGGGCAGATGGACTTGTGGTCCAGACTTATTTTCCTTTGTTTTTCCTTGCATGTCTGTTGGCTGACTGGCTTGACTCAACTTCTAGCATCTTGCATCTAATCTGGTGTAGATTACATGGCTTCTCTTCTAATGGACTTATGTGAGGATGATCCAGCCTTAAGGCAGGGAACTGATCTAGCTCAAAGGTGCCAAAAGTGCTGGCCGCATGCAACCTCAAACCTTCTCTGATGCCTACCAGTCCCCTCACATCAGCTACCATTGAAAAAAGTGAGGGTGGGAAACCACTCTTAAGAACAGGTTATATATGAGGGGTCTTCAAAAAGTTTCTGCACTTTTATATTTTATAAGTATATTTTATATATTTTTTGCTGACGACATTACAAAATTGGTATAACGCTGGGAAAAAAGCATCACAAAGGAAGGTGACTATGTAGAAAAGTAGTGTAATTTGTTTTTGAAATTCTTAATAAATAGCGTTTTTAAAAGTGCAGAAACTTTTTGAAGAACCGTCATAGTTCCTGCCATAGAAGCCTCAATCCTGGAGTTTCCTTGAAAAGTTCTTGAGAGCCCTGCTTGAAGGTTCCCAGGGTGCTTGATTAGTTTGGGGTGCTTGGGGAGGAAAGAAGGCTTCAGCACCTTGATGCCATGATATTGAATGACTGCTGTTACTGCAAGAGCAAATCTTTTGCTCCTGGAATGTGCATGGAGGAGAAAGCATCCATGTGTTGTGAGTGGTGTGAGTTGATGTACATTAATGTGCAACCCCCCACAACCCCAGCAGATACCCCCTGTAGCTCTCAGGGCTCCACTACAGCTCAGGAGTAGATGACTTCTACAATTGCCACCCATGTTTGTTTATAGTGGAAGTGAATTTGGAATTTCCTTCAAGTAGGACTTACTCTTGCTCCATTGTGCCATTAATGGTACTTTCCGATGATCTGAAAAGCCTGTTTCTGCACCAAGCTCCTCCTTGGTAGATCTTTTGCAGCTTAAGAGCATTCCAGGCATCTTGGGGTGGGGAAGATTTTAACAAATCATAGTTAAGATTAGCCATACTTTGTCCAGGTCAACAACAAACTGTGCTTAATCAAAAATGCAAATGTAAGCTTTGGAACTCTTCCTTGCAGCTTGCAGCTGTGCTGGAAGGGGAAAAGGAAGAGGATGCACATTAGCCCAGGTTCATTCCCAGAGTGGCAAAGCCAAGTGAATGAAAGGGCAAACTGTGCTTTGATCCCATGGGATCATCAACATCTCTTGGGCCTTTTAAAATTCCCTTCCATGAAAAATAATATTTCATTTACTGTAATGTCAATCTGTGAGGTTGATTTTATAATACAGTGCAAGCTGTTCTACATGAAAAAGTAACTTCCTTACAAACTGCAGTAATAACATGCTAGGCCTTTTGAGGATTCTTCATGACTGCCTTGTAATACAGCAGTACATTTCGTCTCCGTAAATGAGGAAATGTATGTCTTTGACTGTGAATGGGCTCTAGGGTGCAAGGAGGGGAATGCTGGGACAAGCATCTTAGACACTTTCCTGCCCGCACATTCCTGATCCTGCTGTTTCCCATGTATTAGAATCTGAATTAATGCAACAGCATTTTTCTACCTGAGTAACCTTCCTTCACCATTTTGTTCCCTGGAGATCAATATTCTGGATGTCAAAGCAAACATGACTCTAAACTTGTATCTAGCAAGTAGATTTTTTCATTTGTATTCTAGAGTAGCTGAGGGTGGGGAGAGGGGGGTTGATCCATATTTTAAATGCTCCCCTATCCCCCCACAGTAGGGGCCCAGTCCATATCAAGGACTCTGTGTTACTCTAGAGTAAAAAACAAAACAAAGCACCAGATGGAGGGGAAGGTGCAACTGCTAGACTCAGGTTTAAAAGAAATATCTGCTTTGGCCTTAAATTTCCCATCAGGACAAAAAGACACCTTCTCTTTATTGAGTTATCAATATTGGCTGGATTTGCTTGTAATTTACTTATTTATTTGTGCAATTTCTATATTTCTAGCTATTATGAAAAATCCCTAATTTGTTCAGTTTAACTCTAGCTTGTCTGCATGTCTGAAACCATAACAATCAGCTAATTAGAGCCAGTGGTTGAGAGTGCAGGAGTGGGACTTAGGCAGTCTGGGTTCTAGTCCCCACGCAGTCACAGAACTCACTGGGTGACTTTGGTCCAGTCACAGACTCTCGGCCCAACCTACTTCACAGGTTGGTTGTTGTAGGGATATGATTGATAACAGCAGAGGAGAATGTCATAAGCCATTCTGAGTTCTTTGTAAGAAAAAAAGATGGATGATAAATTTAATAAGTAAACATGGTTTGTCTGAGACTAACAAATTACAATCTGAAACCATGGTTTGAAGTTGGCTTGTTGGTATGAATTCCCGGTGGTTTGCTAATACATCTGCACTCGCTATCCTGACTTGATCCCAGTATGTTGCTTCACTCTGCTCTCACTGGCTTCCTGGCTATGGAAAAGCGAGGAAAGAAAACAAAATCACCCAGATTGCCCTGAAGGAAAGAGATTCTCACTGGTGCTCTCACAGGCTTCTCCTTCCCTCCATCCCTTTCATTGTGCCAGCCTGTCCACTTACCTGTGTGATGGGATAAAAAACTAAAGGCCATGATGGGAGCTGAAAATGACAGGGTAGAAACCCTAGCATATCTGGAGGGTGCTTGTCTGGGGAAAGTTGACATACCAGATTCATCTCTGAGCCCAGCACGCTCGGATCCTGCTGATCCTGGAGCTACTTCTGTGCCCAACACACCACACTGCCTCTGAGGAGGAGATTTACTGGAAGTGTGTCTCCTCAGAAGTCTTGTCATTGCAAAATGAATTGCATCCTGGCTGCTCGATATGGCTGTCCCCGTGTTCAGATGTAGTGCTTTTGCGCTAAGTGATTTGTGCTGCACTTAAGGCAGCCAAAGTCAAATGGGATGATGGCTGCCTCACAGAGGCTACTAATGAAATGAGATATGGATCTCGAGAAAGCCGTTTTGGTGAGCAGATCTCAGATAAATGGAATGCATGCCCCTCAGTTCATAAGCTGCAATGTCAGCTGTATTATTATTATTGAGTGTGTAGGAGCCATACTGGTAGGCTCACACTGGATTCCTCTGTATTACTGTCATCCAGCTGCCTTCTGAAATAGAGCTTCTGGACCATTCATTTAATTTTGCAATCAAATTCTAAGAGAACCACACGTCGTGCGCAGCAGTATGTACTGATGCATTCAAGTGCTTGTAATTTGCATAGCAGATTGTCCGGGTACACCAGTTTTCTAATTATCTGTAGCATTTTCTGGTGGTAGAACCATAGTTCCTACTTAGAAATGGAGTACACTGTCCAACAGAATGTATTTGGTGAAATACTAGCTTTCTGACTGATTGAAGATGGTTCATATTTTGTGTTTGCACTGACTTTTGCAATTATAGATTCTAGTATGTTTGAAAGACATGTGTAGGTCACTCTGAAACCATGGGCATATATGACTAAAAAGAAGTTAACCATACATTTTCTACCCATAAGGATGAGCTTCCTGCTGGTATTAAGATTTACAGAATTGTTTGAGGTGGTTTCATTACAGCCCCGGGTAGCCTTTGAGGAGAGGCTACTTCCCTCCTGTGTCATTTGGCTGATTTTAGAAGCCATGGTGTGATGGTACATTTTGAAGGGCAGGAGCTTGTCCTGACACGTCCAGGAAGAGTCCAACATTGCAAGCAGCTGCGTTAATTTGTATCAACAGATAAATTCTAGCAGTTTTCATCTCCATCAGAGCAGGTCTTTTGCACACCTCATGAGCTTTAATTGCCCATTGGAAACCAAACCATCCAAAATGCATTATAAAAGGGTGCCGTATATGGTTGCTGGGAGAATTCGTTTCACTCCAGGTGTTGTACAGTTTGCACCTATACTCCGAGAGAACGGGGAAGCTTGATAGGGGGCTGGTGGCATCAGCATCCCTGCTAGGCAAAAAGTGTTGCACTGAATCCTAACTCAACTATACAACTTGGAAGAAGTGATGTAAACAGGTGAGGCATAGAGATGATGAAGATGCATTTGGGGAAAGTGTTAAGAGTGGGAGTCTTTATGCAGATGCAAGCAAAGCTTGGAAAAAACCATCTATCTACCTACCTACCTACCTACCTAAAGCTTTTATATACCATCCATTACAAGCATCTCGGGATGGTTTTACAATAAAAGCAGCACAAAATAACTATCTCTGTTGGGATCTGCCTGAACATTTCCCAGGGTTCGGGTGTCCCTGTTCACAGCTCTTTTGCATGTGCAGGAGCTCTGGTACATAATACAGGAGCGCCAGCAAAGCAGAGGGTTCCTTCTGTCTTCCATGTCAGAACCTGCTTCACATTCACAAGGAAGCAACACATCTCAGCCTTCCTAATTTTGCCACTTACATGACTGGCCCTACCATAAGGCAGAGTGAAATGGCTGGTTTGGGATGACATGAAAAAGCAGCAGGTTTGTTTGGTATTGAATTATTGTGAACCACCTGGAGAGCTTTGGTTACTGGGTAGTACAGAAATGATGTAAAATTATTATTATATTGATTTTTTTCCTGCTGGGGAGGTATTTATTCTGTCCCCAGTGCCAAAATTAGGTGGCTGATCTTATGTTCTGTAGACCTTGACATAGTGGGGGTTGGGGGGAAGCTGCCGTCTATGGTTACAGCTGGGGTTTAGGGGCAGCCCAGTCTGTTTCATGCCCCATTCCACCCCACGTCTGCCCTACCCACTTCACATTGGCTTCAACAGAAGACGGTTCCTACAATGAACTGCAATGGGGTGGGGGAAAATGGGGGTGGGTTGTGACTGATGAGGGAAGGGTTCTACACAACTGCACACCTGCACACATGCACTGCAATTAGGGTTGAGAAGAAAATGTGT